AGTGATTCAGCAGTGGTTCAACAGTGGTTCAGCAGTGATTCAACAGTGATTCAACAGTAGTCCAGCAGTGGTTCAGCAGTGATTCAACAGTGATTTAGCAGTCATTTGGTTCTCACTCTATCTTTTGCAGAAAATACAATTTCTCTGTTTCAGAATGAATGTTTTTGTTCTGACTGAGTTAAACAAAGTTTCACCAAAGACGACTCACAAAAACAAGTTGAAAGGCTGAAACTTGTTTATTTCTGAGGTCGACTTCAGCGTGACGACATGCTGCAGAGTCATTATCTACAACATTAAATTAGCATCTTAAATGAAGGAACATTTCTGTCTTCAAACTGATTTTCTCTGTTCTGTCAGGCATGAGATCAGGGACGTGCACCTCGTGGAGGAGAGCGTGCTGGAGAGCCTGAAGGTCAAAGCCGACTTCCACAACTTCAAACCGCGCCCCTTCAACATGCGGGAATTCTACGACCGCACAGGTCACGACATTAAAGACATGCTGCTGTCCTGCCACTTCCACGGCACCGAGTGCAGACCTGAAGACTTCAAAGTGGTGAGTGTTTTGACCCGACAGCAGGCTGAGGGCTCATGACTCTTACAGCCATTTTATTTTAAACAATGGTCAAACTCAACCAAACTAATTTATGTCATATAATTAAAACTAAATTTAAAAGATACGATGGCACTGTTCTGACCTTCTGCTGGGGAAATTCACACGCTGCAGCAGCAACATCACAGATCACACAAGAAACAAGAAAAAGGACAAAATACATTGAATACAAATACAACAAACTATCATTTAAAAATACAGTCATCTGTATATACTACATTAAAAGTGTTTATTGTGTTCTCCAAAATCTAACATAGAAAATAACTTTTTATCCACTTTTTTCTATCAAACCCTCAGTATTGTTTGAAATATTTATATATATTGGTCAAACTGGTCAAACTGAGTTTATTGTAGTAGATGAGGTGATGGAGTGAAGAAGGGAAGGCTGAGCTCAAACTCAGCCTCAGCACTTTGTTTGTCCCACTTTATAATTCATTCAGACATTCCTCCGACCTAAATTCATACATTAGAAATCATGGAGGGAGTTCATTTCTCTCTGACAGGGAGTTAACTAGAAAAGCAAAGGGAAAAACAGCCGAGCCACTGATAAAACTCTGCTAGCAGTTTCTGATATGGCAGCTCTGTGTTATGTCCTGCGATCACAGATGGGACTGAGCAACAGCTAAAGTCAGCACCCCGTCTGGTTAATTGATGTGCAGCCACTGAAATGGAAGTGATATTACAGTACATTATTAATGTCCGCCCACACAGATATTGCACCTTAGGACTGAAGTCAGAACTGAACCGTGGGTACGCTGTGAGGCTCAGACTGATCCTGAAACTTGCCCGGCCTAAAATAATGCATGCTGGTTAGGATTATTGTTCTGAATTTTGCTGATGCTGCACAAGTATAACAGGACGTGAAACGCTTATGGAAGCTGCAGTGACTTGGCTACACCAACAGAAAACCACCTCTGTGTCAAAACAAAAGCATGAAATATCAAAAGCATTGACAAATAATGTTTTTTATACTGTATGTGGTTCATGCGCACCTGGTTACATTTTTTATCAAGACCACACTGGAAACAGCTGAGTGAAGGCTTTTGACAAGATTGCATATCTGTTTGGATGAAAGATTTTTTTCTTACTCACTGCACTAATTACCTACAAAGAGTAAGACAGGTCCTGATGTGCCAGCTGTAAGAACAAAGTCTGAGCCATCAACACGTATGTCTGTCATCAGATACCTGGTATAACAGACTGGCCGAAGAAGGAGATAGAAGCCACTGACAATAAAACTCAAAAACTGCTCATAATACATCAAGAGCTTCACCCAAGTCCAGCACCGTGACACTAAGAGAAAGGAGGGAGGCAGAGGACTAGTGAGCATTAGAACTACTATGCAGGATGAAACAACTAAGATCCTGGAGTCCATCAGAAAGAAAGCCCATCAATGGTGAACTGATGAGTGAATGTTTCAGGCAGCAGCAGAAACCTAATGTGGAAGAGGCAGAACAAGAGGAGCCATCATGGAAAGATAAGCCCCTGCATGGCACGTATCACCAGGAGACTGAGGCTGATAATAAATCCTACCAGAGAGGTCTGGACTGAAGGACAGAACAGAGGTACTACTCATGGCAGCACAAGAACAGGTCCTCAGAACCATACCAGACAAGACCCAAGATGCAGGCAGTGCAAAGATGTCCCTGAGACAGTTCAGCACATGATAACAGGGTGTAAGATCCATGCAGGCAAAACATACATGGAGCACCACAACCAAGTGGCTGGAATAACATACAGGAACATCTGTGCAGAGTATGGATTGGAAGTTCTACAGTCAAAGTGGGAGATGCCACCAAGGGTGGTGGAGAAAGGAAGGGCTAAGATGCTGTGGGACTTCCAGATCCAGACTGACAAACAAGTGATGGATAACCAACTGGATATTGTGGCGGTCGACAAGCAAGAGAAGAAGGCAGCGGTGATAGATGTAGCAATCCCAAGTAGAGTTGCACTCGGGTCCAAATAATTCGTACCGACCTGGCCCCAGCATGCAGCCATCATCTCCGAACCCCACTCGACCCGATGAATTAACAGAAATTGCAGATCCGAACCCAAACCCCCTAACATTTTTAATTAAGCTTACCACCAACTATTATTAATGGTTGGCGGACGTGTGCGGCTGAGTGAAGGGGGCAGAAGATCGGAGCTGAGGAGCCCTCAAAGCACACTAAATGCTTCCCCTGCATCCTGCTCTGACATGTCAGATATTTTGTGATCTCACTTGTTTGGGTCGTCGGCCGCTCGCGTCCGCTGAGTGCAGCAGCTGAATGAACGTCCATTTGGGCTGATGGATCGCTGGCAGTAGTCCATTTGAAACTTAACTGAACTTTTTACCTCTTTCAACCTGCAGGTCAGTGCATGGTCAAATGACCGCTTGCAGCAGGTGTAGTATGGCAAGCCATGTTTGCAAATATTGGATCGTCGGCTGCGCACATCCCTGACACAATAAAAAGCCCAACACTGACCCGGCTCACAAATTAAGCACATTATTATGGCCCGGCCCGGTCCAAATCCGGGTCGGGCGGGGCTGAGCTCCGGGTTCGGGTTAGAAATGACAGCTCTAATTCCAAGTGACTGTAACACCAGGAAGATAGCGCATGAAAAGGCTAGAAATATATCAAAAACAGAACGAGGAAATAAAGAAGTTGTGGAGAGTCAAAGCACCAGTAATCCCAGTGGTCATTGGAGCCCTCAGTGCTGTGATCCTCAAACTGGAAGAGTGGCTCTAACAGATCCCAAGATCAACCTCAGAGATCTCTGTCCAGAAGGACACAGTCCTAAAACAGGAACAGCTAAGATGCTGAACAGAACCCTCAAACTCCCAGGCGTCTGGTAGAGGACCAGAGTTTGAAGTGAAGTGGAACCACACAGGTGGAAGAGTGGGATGAGCTAGGAGTTTTTCTTCTTTTTTTATAAATAAATATATATTCATCTGTGCCACTGTTGTCGTTTTTAACTCTCAGCTGAACGAAGTAACTGTTCTGTTTGGCACGTTCATGTTATTTCTTAAATGTGGCTGAAGCCTAAACTAGAACAAATCTTCAGACCACAAATCAACTTGGCCCTGGCTGGTGATCTCTGGTATTTTTCCACACCTTACCACCTGAGCTGTGTCTCTTTTATGATTTCAGCTGCTTGTATGTGATTCAAGCTAACTTAAAGGGATATTTCGGACATTTTTACACTTGAATTTCCCATCCGTGGGACAATAAAGGCTGTTTCTATTCTATTCTGTTCTGTTCTGTTCCATTCTATTCTATTCTATTCTATTTTATTAAACGGAAGTTCTGTGGATTAGTTATAAAGACATAACATTTTACCTGTTGATGTCTACGACCTCAGTTTGGATACATAGTTTAACTGAGACCAGACTGACGCTCTAATAGCAGTAGCAGCAGCTGGCTGTAGCATTTCCAGTGCAATCTGGATGTCCAGCACAAACATCTTGATAATACTCTGAGAATAAATGTTTAATGTAAAACTAAGAGTTTACAAGAACCACTGTGACATTTTAGAAAATTTGAAGTTGTTTAAAATGGACAAATTGTGCTTGGTATGTCGGCCTGTTCAGACTAACTATAATCTGTTTGTTAAGGCGGTCTGAACAGATACACTACCAAATGGTATTTTACCTCATTTAAAAAATCTTTAAAACTTCATAGCCATTTAAGCAAATGCCATAATTTAAAAATTTACACCACCCTCAGTTTCACATTACAGTTATTTCAGCAGGAATGTGACAATTTTTCTACTGAAGTGCTTCTGCTTCAATTTAATCCTGCAAACAACTGCAGCTCTCCATGTAAATAACAGTCTATTGTGAAGCTGAGAGCAGAGTAAAGATGAATACAAATAAACTTTCACACAAACTGGTGTGAAATCCTAAAGACTGGAGTTACTTTAAGACAGCAGCAGTCCACTCTGCTCTTAGCTCCATTCAGATCCCAGTCAGAATTAAACTTTCTCCAAACTGAAGTCATCTGCAACAGGTAAGACATTGATTGAACAAAACGTTTCTGCAGAAACTTACTTAAAAAAAAAATGGAACTATCCCTTTTTAAATGGACAAGACGATTAAATGTGTTCAGAGTCCTGAAATCTGAAATCATATTTACGCCTCAAAGATCTTTTCTTGTTTTCCGGAGTCTGTGTTTGGAATGTGTGCCAACAAGTCCTTGTTAAAATCTAAGACCAAACATAATTTCAAGCTTCTAAATTCAATCAAATCCCCGTAGCGTTGAGTAATTTAACATTAGCCTTTTTGTCGTTAGGCGCTTAAGAAAGAGCAGCCAGTTTTGTTTTGAGCTGTTTTATAAAAAGGAGACACCACTGAGGTCAAAGTCCAGTCGTGTGTCTGACTCGTAGCAGCGCTGCATGTTGCTCTTTGGCTGGAAACTCCTGTTGCAGCTGCAGCCGGCACACAAACATTCAGCGAGCGGCTTCTCCGCAGTTTTATTTGGACCCTGTTCCCTCCACATATCTATCTCTCTGATACATTTGTGATGGTGTCTGGTGGGAATTAGCCACCAAGTGGTCTTTAGTTAGCAGAGTCCAGATTTTATTTGGACTTACAGTCCAAATAAATAAAAATTTAAATAAACCTGTTAGCTCAGGTTGCACACAACGAACAGCACAACAAAAAGCAGAGTGATGTTGGATGTTTTGTGTCTGCACTTCTACACAGACAAGATAAAAAGTCCAAGAAATGTGTTTTTTCTGCATAAATGTGACCAGAATTTTACACTGCAATGAACAAAGCGAACAAATAAGACTAAATATTGTATTATTTATTGGATTAATGAGGGAGATTATTAATTATTCCTCTTTTTTAAGGTAGCAAAGTGTATGACTGTGAGCTAATTTTAGGACAAAGTTGAAGTCTGGTGTTTTCAGTGTATTTGACAATGATTGGATGCAACTGTTTTCCTGAAAGAACTCGATCT